TTGAAGATGTAAAGGAAGATTGCAGTTGGCTTAAATCACTCATATGCATCCGAACCAGGGAATGAGTGAAGGTGGCCAGCTGTGAGAGCCATAGAGAGTGGCGAGGATTCTTCAGACTGTAGAGTGTGCGTCTCTCTCTCTTTTTTTTTTTAAAGATTTATTTATCTGAGAGAGCGAGAATGAGAGAGAGTACACGAGAGGGGGGAGGGTTAGAGGGAGAAGCAGGCTCCTCGCCATCAGGGAGCCCGATGCGGGACTCGATCCAGGGACTCCAGGACCATGACCCAAGCCGAAGGCAGTCGCTTAACCAACTGAGCCACCCAGGCGCCCGAGTGTGTGTCTCTTTTAACCAACTGAGCCACCCAGGCGCCTTGTGCGTCTCTTTTAAAAGGATAACTGTATATCAGGGAAGACACTCCTCCAAACTGGCCCTGTGCAATGCCTGAGACTGACGCTAAAATTTAGTATTAGCACAAAAGCTCGAATGACCAACAGCCCTGGTTTGTCCCAGACTGAGGGGGTTCCTGAGACAAACTGTTTTAAAACAGGTATAAATAAAATCTTTAAAAAAAAAAAAGGCGGGGGGTGCTTGTGTGGCTCAGTTGGTTAAGTGACTGCCTTTGGCTCAGGTCATGATCCCAGGGTCCTGGGATCGAGCCCTGCATCGGGCTCCCAGCTCAGCAGGGAGTCTGCTTCTCCCTCTGTCCTCCCCCTCCCCACCCCACTGGTGCTCTCTCTCTCTCTAATAAATAAATCTTAAAAAAAAAAATTAAATAAAACCAGAGTAAGTCCTGGCCAAACTGGGATAAGCTGCTCACCCTAACCCACATTACCAGTGCACACGGTAGAATGTGAGAGTGAAAGGTGCCTTGTGGAGAGGGCATGTTCCAGGCTCAAGGAGTGGGTTAGCTCCCCACAGGTATATGGGTGTACTACTAAAGCAGGTCCTCAGAGGCCAAGCTGCCCTGAGCCCCTGAGAGCGTCAACTCCAAGAGATTCCAGATCTGATGTAGCTTTCAGTGCTATGGTTCAGAATATAGTTATCCTATACTCTGCTCCAGATTTCCTCTGAGGACAGCTGTAGGACTCAGGACACAGGGTGTGCCCCTATGGCATGAGAGGTTCTGCCCCACATACCAGAGACCCATACAGAAGGGACATCTTGACAGTGTTAGAAAGCCACCTTGAAATAAAATGCATAGGTAGGTCAGGATTCTCTGGGAGGGCTTTTTGTGCAACTATTTTTGGTGTCAACTATGGACATACCTTTTTTTAAAAACACAACTTATTGGGCGCCTGGGTGGCTCAGTTGGTTTAAGTGACTGCCTTTGGCTCAGGTCATGATCCTGGAGTCCCTGGATCGAGTCCCGCATCGGGCTCCCTGCTCGGCAGGGAGTCTGCTTCTCCCTCTGACCCTCCCGTCTCATGTGCTCTCTCTCTTAAATAAATAAATAAAATCTTTAAAAAAAACCCCAACTTATTATAGAGACATTTAAAAATTGCCATGCCTGGCAATAATTAATGGCCCCTTTTATTGCAGTACTGAGATACAGAGAAGTTTGGGGGTCTTCCAAGGGACATGTTTCCCATAGCTGGTCAAGTCTTAATGTGGCACCTCTAAGATTAGAAGTGCTGTTTGGTCTTCCATGTAATACCAGGTCCACATTTCCTTCAACATTTTTTTCCAATTATTGAAGATGGCAAAATTCCTACTACCTAGAAATTGTATGGCACCTTGACTCTAAGGCTGAATTATGACAATTTATTTCTATAGTATGATCTCATAGTTAGAAGAAAGGTGCATGTGGTTTTGTATGGCAAGGCTCTGGTGTCACATGCTTGGTGGGAATCTCACTTTGGTACCCTGATCATTGTGCATAAACGAGGGCCACTGTCAGTCTGTCCAGGATGCTATAACAAAACACCACAGACTAGGTGGCTTATAAACTATAGAAATTTACTTTTCATGGTTCTGGAGGCTGGAAGTCCAAGATCAGGGTGTCAGAATGGTTGGGTTCCAACGAAGGCCCTCTTCCTGTTTGCAGACTGCCGACTTCTCACTGTGTCCCCACATGATGGAAAGGAGACAGGGAGCCCTCTGGGGTCTCTTTCATAAGACTATAAGTCTTTTATAAGATACTAATCCCAACCAGAGAGCTCTGCTATTATAACTTAATCACCTCCTAATACCATCACCTTGGGATTAAGATTTCAACATATGAATTACGAGGGTTGGGGGGTGGGGAGGGATACAAATTTTCAGACCATAGCAGCCTACACATCAAAGGGCTATGCTGAGGTTTTATTAGGTAACTTATGGCCTGATGCACAGTATATTCTGAATAAATATTTCCTTTCTTCCTAATTCCCAAAACAGTGTTGTAGGATGAACTTGTAGGCTGACTCTCTAATCTTGGAATAAGAAAAGATTGACTACTTCTGCACTTGCTATCTTCAGTGGATTCCTGTAGAAGAGATGAAGAATGTTGTATTTATTTGTAGTTTTATGACAAATTAAGGCCACAACCTTCTGAATTATTTTAGATCAATAAATATCATTTCAAACTACTTTCTCAATGACCAGTGGTCCTGCCTCTGTCAAGGATCTGCCAACATTTTATTTAACAAATTTATAAAATACTGTAACTAGCAATAACTGGCATGGAAAGTCAAATATTAAGGTACCAAATCGCTCCTGAATTTTAGAAATGCTATCCCCATGATCATTAGTGAAATGACTTACGGTTTCTGAGTGCTAAACTACTCCCAAATCTTATTTTACAAACATTTTTGAAAACTTAGCTGGAATTGTATTGCCTGCTACAGTTACAGATTCCAAGTAAAATTACCATGTTATCTGGAATCTAGACTTAACAGGCTCAACTAAGGATTTGTTGCTCTCTCTGGAGTTTCTCTAGCTTTCACATTTTGAGGGGAGGGTACATTTGTTTGTCATTAAGTATTCAGAGTTCATAAACACGGGGAAAGAAATGTTATAGACTTCCTATCAAATTGACATAAAATCTAAAGATGGCTCATGGGAAAGCAAACATAGATTTGTGACAGGATTTCCTATGAGAACTGTTATGATCTCTGGCTCCCAAATAACACACATTTTTAAATGATCTGAAGTATACCCATTTATGAGATGTAGATGTAATATATTGGATATAGCACTTAAAATGTGTCCAACTGGAGTTGACTTTTTTGTTTTTTTTTTTAAAGATTTTATTTACTTATTTGACACAGAGAGACAGCTAGAGAGGGAACACAAGCAGGGGGAGCGGAAGAGGGAAAAGCAGGCTCCTGGCTGAGCAGGGAGCCCAATGAGGGGCTCGATCCCAGGACCCTGGGATCATGACCCGAGCTGAAGGCAGACACTTAACAACTGAGCCATCCAGGCGCCCCTGGAGTTGACATTTTAAAAGAAGAAAAGCAAACTGAATTTAAACATTGTCAATAAAAGCCAGTATTAATATCGTAAGTCTGGTTTAATCAGTCAAAAGCAAAAAAAAAAATCAGTTTAATAAGATTGCATATTAATATGGCTCAGTGCTTTTAGGATTAAAATTTTAAATCTAAGGTATTAAAGTAAATATAAACCTTTGTGGTCTGAAAGTCTATAGACAATAATACATTCTGGGTAATTTCCTAAAAATGACTCTTGTATTATATTAATTTTATTTTAAAAGAAAGAGATGTTAAACACACATCTGACCCCCCCCCCCCCCCCGCCATCTATAGTGTTCTATATATCAGGGACTGGCAAACTACAACTCACAGGCCAAATCTGGCTATTGATTGTTTTGATAAATAGTTTTATTGGAACACAGCTATGCCCATTCACATGTATGGTCTGTAGTTCCCTTTGCTACGAGCATAGAGTTGAGTAGTTGAAACAGAGACCATATGGTGTTCTGGTATGCTGGAAAATGTCTTCAAATAAAATGAACAGTAAAGTCATTATTAAAAAGAGAAAAAACACCCCTAGGTACTCTGGTTTAAAAGTTACCTTTTCAATATTTGAACAGTATTTTCTTGAGGACTTCTCTTTAACCACAAAAACCTGCATCTTTTGACTCAGATATTTAAAATGTTTCAAATAAAGATTTTAAATTTGAATCAGAAATATTTAGAGGTGAATGATTTCCATTTGTAAATCCCACTATTTAGTAGTAAAGATGTTCCTTAAATGAGACCAACTGGTATGGTGGGCTTGTAACTGTAATTAGTGAAAGCAGGAGTTTCCAATATGCCCTGTAACACAAAGAACCCTGAATTTCGATCAGCATATCAGTATGTTTTTCAAACTGCACCACATACAAGTTTCCTCTGCCTCCTATAGCTACATACCTAAAATAGTCTGAAGGTCAAAGCCAGACAGACATACCCTTGTCACTGAATGTGTTGACCATGAGTGATACAGTTGAGTTTATTTCTTCCACTAAAATTATGGAGAAAAAACAAAACATACGTAAAATAGTCGGAAGGTCAAACCCAGACAGACATACCCTCGTCAGTGAATGTGTTGACCATGACTGACGCAATTGAGTTTACTTCTTCCACCAAAATTATGGGAAAAAACCCAAATCAAAACTCAAGGGTAATCACTGTAACAATCTTAAGAGGAAAAAAGGAGAGAAATAAATTCAAAAGTGCTCAAACACAATGATCAGCTCAGACTTGACTTTCACTAGAAAGTATTTTTGGAGTCCCATATTTTAACTGTTGAGTAAAGAAGGTTGTAACAGAAGGGATGTCTATGAGAAAGTAATGTCCAGCTAATATGTAAAGTATTTGTGATCTGAAAGAACTGTAAAATCGTCAGGTTATTGACAGCTGGAGAAATTCCACATGCTAAGCAACTCAACTACAAAGAAATATTAGCGGTTTTAGATGAAAAATAAATTTGAATCTGTAATTGAATTAGACAAGCCTTGCTGCACATAGGGCTACGCTGGTCACCAGGATACAAAGCAAACACTGGGTTACCAGAAGTGCATTTATCAGCCACAGTGATTTATTGAGTGCTTTAATAATACAAGTGTACATCAACTGATCCACAGTCAAAAGTGGCAGGTCCCTAAGAAATTTACAAGCACTTTAAGTAAATCAAAATACATATTATTTTGTTCAATCCAACAGTCTTCTGTGTGGGGGACAGAAGGCTAGTGATAAACAGAGTCTCAGTAATGCACAGTGATTCTGATTGAAGCTTTTGTACAAAAAACTTGTTCCCAGTAGCATGCACCCACCAATAAAGACTTCAGTACAAAAAATTAACCCTAAGCACTACATTTAAGTAGAAATGAGATATAATTCTGAATTCGTGTTTTCCCAAAGATCACATAAAAGGAAAAAAATCAAAATAAAACAACAAAAAACAAAACCACACAGTAATACAAAGCTTTGTAAGAAAGCTCTTACTATTACAGATCCAACATTGTTTGCACTGAAAACAAAAGTTCCCATTCCATGTTAAGATGGGAAAAAAAACCCCAAATCTTTCAAGTTAATAGAAATCAAAAAAGGAAATAAACTGAGAAGGCAGGGGTGGGGGGGGTGGAGGGAAGAGAGAAGGAAAAGGAGGAAGAGGAGGGAGGGAGAAAGGAGTGGGGGATGGATGACATACCATCAGAAAAAGATTCAGAATTTAATAAAAATAAGAAAATAAGAACCGAGGTCCCGAGGGGTGGGTAGGGCTATTGATGCACTTGGTGAATGTGCTTGCACAGGTCCGGCGGGGGCAGCAAGCAGCAGGCCCCTATGTGGCATACCGCTTGGTCCACTGTCTGGCCATCCGGTCGTGCTCTGCTCTGTTGGTCATGTACTGTGTGGCAATGCTGCCCACCAGAGGGTCAGCTGGAAGGGAAGCAGAGTCAGGAGTCAGTAAGTACCAGCAGCACTTCCTCTTTCAAAGCTGGGGGAAAGGAGTGCCGGAAAGCTAACCCTAGATCAAGGAGTAGATGCAGAGGTGGCAGGAAGCTGCCGTTCTAACCTGTAACAATGTCACTTCAGCAAAGACCTGTAAATGACCTGCCAGTGACAGATCACTTTTCACACCGGCTGCCCACAGAGTCATCTACTTGCCCTTTTACTGATGGCTCTGGTCATTTCTTGACAGGTCGTACTCTCTCTCCCTGTTCCCACTGCACACTTCCCACCCCCCTCCGCTTGTCTTCAGGTCGCTGTTTCACGGAGAACTCTTTGGGAAGTGGTTCCGATGGCCTGGCCAACTCCTCTACCCTGGGGCTTAGACCCTTGGTGGTGGCGCTCCCACCCCTCACTGCCTACACTGGGGGAGGCTTCAGGAGCCTCAGCCGAACACACCAACCTTAGTAAGAACCACTGACAACGGGGAAGATGGTCTACTTCCTCCTCCAAACTTGGAAATATCAAGATCCATATAGCTCTTTATTATAAAAATACCGGTAGATATTAAATAGCTAATACTCACATCCTGAAAGTTTAACATACTAACGCCATAAAACTCTGAGGAACTGACACATCAGGAAACTGAAACACTAGGGGGGTTAGTAAGTCACCCACCCAAGACAGATAAGCGGTAGAGCCAGGAGCCCACACACACTGAGCCTAGAGCCCACCATGCGCTGCTTGGAAGATTGCTTTCCACCCAGATAGGACTGGAAAAAAATCAGAGCAATTAAAAATAAATTTTTTTTTTTTAGGTTTCTGGGGGTCCCAGAACGCATCCCTTTCCCTTCATTCTCTACCTTCACTCCTTCCCTGATTTTTATTTCCTCTGCTTTTGGTGTTGAGAATTTGAGTGTATTAGATCTAGTGGATAAGAAGGAACCAAAATTAGCAAACAATATGTTAAAGATGAAAAAAGTAAGTAAGTGTGCCTGTGGTCTAATACAACCTATAACGTGGGAAGATTCTGAGACTAACCTAGTAAGATACTCATGGTCATACCTTCTCAGTATTAGAGGTGCAACAGAAACACCATCTTTTAACCATCTGCTGAGGCTGGTACTGCTGAAGCTGTTCCAAGCCCTCTCTCTGAATGACAAGACGCTGCTCACATTTTAACACACCTTGCTCATGTGTTCTTGGACTTGTGCTAAGCTTGTTACATTTATTCTAGGGAGAGGCCAGTTTCTTACATTCACTTATATCACACACAATTTAAACAGACTACCCAGTATATGGGTTTGTTCAGAACTTTTGCCTCTCTGCTCACTCTGTGCTTCTCCTTCACTTGCCCAAATGCTGAAACTGACACCATCACATAAATCAACCAGGTTCAAGAAGATTTAAACTAGTAATACCAAATGCCTGGAATCTGATTAAGATACTTTAAAAAAATGTGGTTTTTCAGTTCAGATTAAGTAATGACTTTAGTCTAAAGGGCCAAAGAGAGGTCTGAGTCACATTTCTCCACCTTTGAAAAAAAAATCATCTTATTCCAATTTTTGGCAGTCTAGAATGCAAAAGTTTGAGTAAAAAATAGGTATCCTCAAAAACTAGAGTCTACGTCACTCAAGACAGGTGTTTAATTGAACAGTATCTGTATTAATGAAATGCACTAAAGATCCATTTGTGCTTTATAACTCACTGATTGAGGTAAAGGACAGGCTTAGTGTCAGAATGACCAGTGATGTTCATGCTCTGCCTTAAATTGTATCCTCACAGTGTGGGCAGACGGGGAAAAAGACAGGTCTGTCATTTCAGCTCAAAGGAGGAAGAAGGGGACAGATGAAGGAAAAGGAACAGGAAGCTGTGGGTGGGAAAAGGTGTTACAATCAAGTGTTAATATTATTTCAGTAGGGGAAGAAGGGGGGAAAATCTCAAAACAAGTTAGAACACTGATAAAATTAACATGCATTGTGCAAAATTTTTTTGTATGCTTAAACAATTAAGATTAGATTTCTTTCATTAGAGTCCTTTTACCTTTTCAAGTTTGATTTTAAAAAGAATATTTTTCCACCTGTAAAATTATACATGCTAACTATAAAAGCAATATTACTAATTAAAACTGCCTCAAACAATACACAAGACAGAAAACTGTAAGTGAAGACCATCTGTAAATTTACTCAGAGAGAAGTACTGTTAACATTTGCCTTATATCTTCCTGGAATTCTTCTCTAAACACACAATTAAAAAAAGATTATAGTCTACTTTTGGAATGTTAAAAACTCACTATATGGCAAATAACTTTTTATATCAATAATTACAAATCTACTTCATCATTTTTAGTATTCACCTGAATAACCAACTTCTTGTTTAGAGACATTTAAGTTTCTTCCAATTTTTGGCTTTATAAACAGTGCTGTGAGGAACATTACTGTGCATACACTTTCACAAATTTATGCAAATCTGAAATTTTTAAAGTATAAATGAAAAACATAAAAGTATAAAATGAAGGAATTTAAAAATCACATGTTATTAACCAAGTAGGTCTCAGTGCTAAAATGTTTTGCTGAATAAAAGTTAAGATTGTCAGTCAACCAAAACTATGTAATATAGGGGCCCCTGGGTGGCTCAGTCAGTTGAGTGGCCAGCTCTTGATTTTGGCTCAGGTCATGATCTCGGGATCCTGGGATCGAGCCCTGCACTGGGCTCCGTGCTCATTGGGGAGTCTGCTTGAGGATTCTCTCTCTCCCTCTGCCCCTCCCCCTGACTCGTGTTCTCTCTCTCCTTCTCATATAAATTAAGTAAATAAATACATCTTAAAAAAAAAAAAAAAAAGGAAAGCAAAATACCATTAGAACACCAAAAACAAAACTATGCAATATATATGTAGCAAATGACTATCACAGTGAATTTAATGGAATAAAACACACTTTTTGTAGTGTATTTATAATTACGAACCTAAGTAAAGATGAATCTTCTTACACAGGTTTCATATTTCATGGACAGTTATGCCAGGGATGTAATAACAGTCTCTAAACATAAATTACTTGCTTATTTCTCTAACAATTTCTTTCTAAAAAAGAAGGAAAAAATTCCTTTTGGCTTCCACATTATTACTTTGGGTTTTCACATTATTACTACTTTCCGAAATCTTCACTGATCTTTGATATTATCCTCTATCAGTCTTCTTCTTCTTACTAAAGAAAACCCACAAAATTTATCAGTGGATAAGTAAATTAAAATTTAAGTCTTCTACATTTTTTGCCTTGTTCACAGCAATTATATGAATTTTTGAAAAGAGGAGCATGTTTATGCTTACAGCACAGGGTTGGATGATTTTAAGCGCTTCATTCTCCCAAATACCAGTGCTGCATATATTAGAGATTCCCTGAAGCTGAGGAATAGGATTTACAGCATGGGCAACGGAAAATCATGGGAGTGAGAGTTGGTATATAATGCTCTTCATTAACTAGACCTCTAAACCACATCACCTCACCTGTTTAACAAAAATGCCTTCATTTTTGTTGACACAATACTAGCTATGAAATCCTAGCCTGAATGGAAGTGTAAGACTGAAAGACCATGGACAAGGGGCAGCACACCACTCTCTCCTTCCTTGTCTCACCTCTGCCTCCTTACACAGTTCCAGGTGCAAAGAGAAGCTGGTTAGTAAGTGCTTGTTGACTGAATAACCATCATGATTATTTGCAAGTGAGTAAAAGGTGATCATACCGAGTACTCTGCTCCCTCTCCCATTTTTTTAAGATCTGTGGTCTGTGCACCTTTGATTCTGGAAAAGAAAGGCTCAGACGACTCCTGCAACTTCATCTCTAGGCTTGCCTCTCTCCTGGCTGGTACCCTGGAAGCCAAATGGCTTAAAGCTTGTCCAGAAAAGGGGGGAGAGAGGAATCAGTACTAAAGGGGATAAGCAGCAGCTATATGGCAAGAAGGGAGTGGAAAAGACAGGCAGACTACTGAACTGCGGAGTTATTCTATTTGGAAGGTCAAAGAACATTCTATCTTGGTTGGTAGGTGATATGGGAAAAATTACATGGAAAAAAATTGGATTCCCTTTTATTAAAAAAAAATATTTTTATTTACTTATTTGAGAGCGAGTGAGAGAGAAAGCACAAACAGGGGGAGGGGCAGAGGGAGAGGGAGAAGCCGACTCCCTGCTCAGTGGGAAGCCTTACATGGGGTTTGACCCTGGGATCATGACCTGAGCCAAAGGCAGACGGGCTTAACCGACTGAGCCACCCGGGCGCCCCTGGATTCCCTTTTCTTAAGAAAACATATATATTCTTAAAAAACCACAAACAAAAAATAGTACAGAATAGTGGACAAGGGCATGGGCTTTGGATACAGACTGCTTGGGTGTGTATCTCAGTTCCACTAGTAACGGAGTCACCTTGGGCAAATTACTTAACTTCTCTGTGCCTCAGTTTCCTCAACTACAAAATAGAGACAATAACTACTCCCTAGAATGCTGTAAGAATTAAATGAATTAATTCTTGTAATGCATATACAAAATTGCTGCTATTATTTTCAAAATAAAGACTGGCAACTAAGTGTTCTTATGCATCATATTTTATTTTAAAATATAAATCTGATTGTCTTCATGAAGACATTCTCTTCAGATAAAATCCAAAAGTCCTTAGTATGGCTCCCAAGATCTTTGGTCTAGACCTAATCTTTCTAGCCTCCCGTCCCCATGCTTGCAGCCAGAAAAAACAACTTGCAGCTTCTTCAACAAGCCCTGCTCTTTCATAGGTCTGCACTTTTACTTCTGCTGCTTCCTTTGCTTGAAGGCTTCTACTCATTTCTCAACATTTAGCTCAAGCACAACATCCTTGGGGAGGTCTTCTAGGAGCTCCCTAGCAGTCTTAGGCGTCCCATTTCTGTTTTGTCTGTTCTTACCTCTATCACTGCACTGAGAATACTGCCTTTTAGTTGTCTGTTTACTTATCCCTATTTCCCACTGGGCT